AACCCCCCCCCCATCTCCCTGCCCCCTTACCGTTTTGCCTGGAGCGCCAGTGGCTGGCGGCACTACAGCCGCGCCGCCAGGCTGGAGCCAAACACGCCACTGCGCAGCACAGAGCACTGGGTCAGGTGCGCAGCTGCAGAGCTGTACCCTGGCAAGAGTCTGCAGCCCCACGGTGCTGGCGGTGCAGTGAGCTGGGGCTGCGGGGGAAGGGGAACAGCAGGGAAGGGGCCGGTGACTAGCCTCCCGGGCCAGGAGCTCAGGGGCCGTTCAGGAGGGTTCTGCGGGACGGATGTGACCTGCGGGCTGTAGTTTGCCCACCTCTGAGCTAGGCATTTTCAGTCAGGTGCACACCTGCCTTATGATTACACATACCCAATGTACAAGTAAATCCTTATTTGGGCACCAGCACACTTGTGCATTTATATTTGGGCACCAGCACACTTGTGCATTCCATAGCACAAAGGGTTCTGCGGTCCCTCTGTAAAGAGACAAATTTCACCCCGTGTGAATAAGCATCCTCATGCCAAACATATACAAAGGTGTTTCTCTTAACCATAATCAGAAAAACTGATATTGCAATTATTTTCTCTGCTGTTTATGTTCCTTTTCAAGAACAACATTGATGTCATCTTCCTCTCCCCATCCCAATCCTCTTCAGGCAATTGAGGATACATATTAAGGATGAAATCCTGACACTAATGAAGTCAATGGCAAGACTCCCATTTGACTTCAGTGGGGCCAGGATTCCACCGAAGGACTCCAAATGAGCTTCAGCAATTACCTCAACTGCTGCATTTATATTTATATGTTATTTTTTTTTAAATAATCATGACTTGGCTGTGAATGCCCTATATTGCTGTTCACGAAAGGATGTGAAAAACTTATTTATGGGTTGAATATCTTCCCCCTTAAATACTCATGTTTATAACATGAGAGATGTGTGGCAACCCTGATCTAGTTAGCTCAAGACAGTTCTTATCAGACAGTCATTTTTCCTATTATATTACATGCAATTTCATAAAACAGCTGAATGTTTGTTATTTTAATAATGCAGACCTTTTGGTTTTTACAGCTAAAAATCACTGCATCTTAGTGTTATTACCTTCATAGCCAGAGTGCACCTTTTCTGCAAGCAACACACAGCAAAGCTGATCTTCTGCATTCTCAGTATCTTGTATTTTGATAAGGTAAGGAGTCATACGAAATGGGTGGTAGAAGATATATTCATGTTCTTTTCCTGCACTAATAATGAAAAGAAAGACTACTTAATTATTTGTTTTGCACAGAATTTAGTCTACAGTGAGGTCATGGACAGAATTTTCAAAAGTGCTTAAGAGAGTTGGGCATCTAACTCCCTTAAGAGCTCTAGAAAAATCCCATCCCATGGTTTTCTTGGAGAGTACCTAGAGGGAGACCCAATCCTGACTGGAGCCTCTGAACATTAACTGTAATGAGAGTAAATTATTCTGTCATCTTATATAAAAAACAGAACATTCTACTTTTTGTAATGGTGTTCACATTAACAATGAGGAATCCAGTGGCACCTTAAAGACTAACAGATTTATTTGGGCATATGGACACAATCAGAGGACCCAACCACATCAACCACACCATCCGAGGCTTGTTCACCTGCACATCTACTAATGTGATATATGCCATCATCATATGCCAGCAATGCCCCTCTGCTATGTACGTTGGCCAAACTGGACAGTGTCTACGTAAAAGAATAAATGGACACAAATCAGACATCAGGAATGGTAACATACAAAAGCCAGTAGGCAAACACTTAAATCTGTTATTGAATGTCCAGGGAGACTGAAAAGTAGCCATCCTTCAACAAAAAAAACTTCAAAAACAGACTTCAAAGAAAACCTGCAGAGCTACAATTCATTTGCAAATTTAACACCATTAATTTGGGCTTGAATAGGATCTGGCAGGCTCACTACAAAAGCAAATTTTCCCTCTCTTGGTATTGACACCTCCTCATCAATTATTGGGAGTGGACCACATCCACCCTGACTGAATTGGCCTTGTTAACACTGGTTCTCCACTTGTAAGGCAACTCCCTTCTCTTCACCTGCCAGTATATTTATGCCTGCATCTGTAATTTTCACTCCATGCATCTGAAGAAGTGGGTTCTTTTTTACCCACGAAAGCTTATGCCCAAATAAATCTGTTAGTCTTTAAGGTGCCACCGGACACCTCCTTGTTTTTGTGGATACAGACTAACATGGCTACCCCTCTGATATTTGGTGTTCACATTAAATCATGTGAACACCATTCATTTTGAACAAGGTCACTCTTTAATAACTTAATAATCTTTCTCTTGCCTTAATCCTGGTCTTTCCTTCAAAAAGGAATTAATTTTATATTTACATAGTGGCTGTATGCTAATATGACCTTTACTTAGTAAAATCCCCACAAAACCTCTAGTACTTAAAGTAGTTTTCTAGCTCAGCACCAGTGAAATCAAAAGTTCATAGCTATAGTATAACAAAACAGTTTTATTTGTGTACTTTTGAAGTATTATCAGAGACAAAAATGACTGAGCTCTTCAGGGAATATTTTAGTTGACATGTGTGATGTTGCAGTCTATACAATTTTATAAAAATATGCTAATGAGTGAATATAATGTAACTGGAATATGCTTCTTGCAAAAGGTCTCTTGTAAAGTATCATTACAAGGCTTATAATCTACTGAGTGTGATCATCCTATTTGTATAAATATACCACTCTTGTATCTGAAACTAGAAATATGAAATATAACTCTGAGGGCCTATTGTAATTATGCAAAGTGTGGGCCATTAATGGTGGTTTGGAATCTTGACTCCCATCAATCAGGACAATTGTCTACAGATGCGTGTGTTTTACCTGTAAGTCTTCCTGTATACGTGTGTGCTGGCAAGTGGGCAATGAAGTCTTGCAGTGACACGTGATCATGTCACCTGAACTGGAATCCATCTTTAACCTGGTGTCTTTCCATTGAGAAGGAGGGGGTGGAAACCCAGAGAGGGACAAAGGATTCCTGCCTTATGCAAAAGATATATAAAGGGGTGGAACAGAAAGAAGGGGAGAGAGGAGCCATCATGAAGAATCCCCTAGCTACCACCTGAGCTGGAACAAGAGCTGTACCAGGGGAAAGAATTGTGGAAGGTGTCCAGTCTGAGGAAAAAACTTACTGAAGCATCTCTGAGGGTGAGATTATCTGTATTCAGTTTGTTTAGACATAGATTTGCACATTTTATTTTATTTTGCTTGACGACTTACTTTGTTCTGTCTGTTACTACTTGGAACCACTTAAATCCTACTTTCTGTATTTGACCCAGAGTATGTATTAATACCTGGGGCAGCAAACAACTGTGCATCTCTATCAGTGTTATAGAGGGCGAACAATTTATGAGTTTACCCTGTATAAGCTTTATACAGGGTAAAACGGATTTATTTGGGTTTAGACCCCATTGGGAGTTGGGCATCTGAGTGTTAAAGACAGGAACACTTCTGTTAGCTGCTTTCAGGTAAGCCTGCAGCTTTGGGGCAAGTAATTCAGACCCTGGGTCTTTGTTGGAGCAGACGGGAGTGTCTGGCTCAGCAAGACAGGGTGCTGGGGTCCTAAGCTGGCAGGGAAAGCAGGGGTAGAAGTAGTCTTGGCACATCAGGTGGCAGCTCCCAGGGGATTTCTGTAATCCAACCCGTCACAATATGGAACTATCTAGCTATGTTCAATGTTACCAAGTTTCTATTCCTCATGCTTGAGGAGAAGAGTTGGAAAAGGGGAACCCTCTAAAGGCTCAAAAAACCCTTAAGGCAAATTAAAATATACACATTTATTATATTCTGTGCTTGAAGACATTTAAGTAATGGAAAACTACTTATCTGTTAATTTCCCCTCCCTAAATGCTATCTCTACTAATTCTCACTACAGGGTTGTTTTCATTTTATGCAGACCAGGTGTGTACTTTTGTGGTGGTGAACAATCCAACTGCCAGAAGAATTCTTACACAGTTATAATAAACTTACAAGAGTACAGTTCTTAAAGCTAACGTTAATTGTGGTACAAAGAAATCTGACCACCAGCTTTGCAGTGGATCCCACAGTGTCCAGATTAGTATATCTATAGTTATTAATCTTCAAGAGTGGAACAGAATAGCAGAGTTGGCTTTTGGAGACAAGAAATTAGCTGTTAAGAAATTTTCCAAATCACTCAGCATTAACGATCACCAGAGAAAAGTGAAATAGTGAGAGAAAGAAAAAAAATGTAGACTGCAAAAAGAATGAGTCCCTGCCCTGCCACCTAACAAGGTGAGTTACTCTGGGACCAACTCTGTGGCTGAAGCATGCAACAGAGATGCCTGGAAATAAATATTGCAGTGCCCTGTGAATGTAGACATGGAGGCCCAAATTTCTCTCCTGTACAACTTTCTAAGGGATATTGAGGATCTCTCTGCTCAAGACTTGCTACTTATGTGGTAGAATGGAAGAGAATCCCTACTAAAATTGGTTCAATTTATGCCTTGTACAGATCCGTAATACAGCATCTGCTACATCTGGAAGTGGAGGACTGAAGACTTTCCTCAGCCATATCAGACAGAAGGAAATACAATATGATTTTCTGATGGTTTTGGTCTGGCTCTTTTGAGGTCAAACAACCAGTCTCTTGACAGCTCATATGTTCTATAATTTCTCTTATGGATGCACTGAATTCCAACGTGAGTGGGAGAATCACAAATCCTAACTAGGTTTTTTTTATTTTAAATAATAAATAAAATTAATAATAAAGAAATTCACTCCAAAAAATGAATGCTAGAGACATTCCTGAGAACAATGTGTTGGTTAATAAATACTACATGGTTCTTCCATGAAAATGATTTTGACCAGAAATATGTTTCAATACAGAAATCAGGCCTCTACAGAGAGAAATGGCCTTGGAGGGTAGGGCCAGACCAGACAGCGCCTATTGCACAAGATTTAGCTTCCACAGGAGGAATGGCGTGTTTAGGTTGTTTGGCCAGCTTGTTAATCCTTCCAAGACCTACTGACATGAGTGTCTGAGATTAGTGAAGACAACATGCTCAGCTTCAGAACCCCTCCTAAATTTGAAACTTCGCTGTTTTGATAACCAGATCTTAGACTGAGAAGCCATCTTATAGAAAATGTATAATGGATTCTGAGGGTCTCATTTTATTTCCCCTGCATGAGAACTATCTTCAAGAGCTGGAATAAAATTCACAATGCTGGATTTCCTTGAGGAAAGCAAAGTCTGAAACACACAACTCTAATGTTTCAACTAAGGAGGTTGGGATACAGAAAAGCCTTTTCCTGTTGGTCATAGTCAAATTCTTCGCCCTCCAACAACAATAGTTCTCCACTCCTTGAGAAACAAGGAGATATGAGGCCTCCCAAATTTCTTTTTGTGACACTTAGCTGTTTAAGGTATCTTAGATTTTTGCTGGCTTCCTGGGGCTTTTACTCAGCTCCTTTTCCATTTTGGCTCATGAAAGAAGCATTCACTTTGTTTGCACTCTTAAAGAGGAAGTGTGCTCTGTCCTATGCCTGGGGACCCCAATCTGAAGGAAGGAGTCTAGTCCTCTTAAAGGCCTGGGTTGAAGATTTTCAAAGATATTAGGGGACCACACAATTGTGACCACACAATTTTCCCAAGTGTCAATGGAAGTTGTGCTGCTAACACCCCTAATCACCTTTGGAAATTTCAGCCCTGGACAGAGGACTGTTCTCCCCAGGGACAGGTAATGGCAGAATGCCTAATTCTTTTCCCAGGTACAAAAGGACCCATTTCATGAAGTCAAATAGACTACTGGAATCCTGGCATCTTTAACTGGCTGCAGTCCCTTCCAAAGACGTCAAAAGTTTTAAAATAGTTATGGTCTAGATCAGAGCTAGCACAAGGCTTCTGCCCTGGATGCCAGCTTTCATTTAGACAGAGACCATGCTATGTTGCATCATGAATGCTCCTTGCCCTGGCAGAACAAGGCTTCCTGTGCCACACAGCTGGCATAATTCTTCTTCTGCAACAGGCTGCAGGTATTCAGCATAAACGAAATACGTTCTGTGTTTGGCTTTGTCCTTCCTTGCCTGTTCTTCTATTTTTTTTTGGGGGGGGGGGCAGGGGGAGAGAAGGGAGGTAAGAGAGGGGCAAGGAGGTAGGAAGCATGAAGGGAGCAGCAAAGAGTAGTCCCTATGGAAAAAACGGTCCTCTAAATGAGTGCCCAGATAGTAGAAAAAATGGAAGGAGCTCACTACTTCAAAAAACTGAGGAGAAAAGCCTGAAAAGTGTCCTGAACTGCTGTGTTTCATCTGCATGGGGGTGGCAGCACTAGCAATTTGTCAAGGAGTTGGGGCTTCTAAGCTCTGTTTGACATATTGATGTCTTACCCTTTTATCCCACACCCACTTCATTTCTGTTTCATCTGCTTGTGGCCTGCTGACATCAAGACTAAACTCTCTGGTGCAGGGATGATCCTCAGGTACCATACAGACAAGTAAAATCACAATGGGGTTCTTAAGACACTAATATAATAAATTAATGAGTGTTGAATTGCCCTTCATCATGATCAAAGGAAGGACTGAACAGAGATGGACTGAGTGGAATGTACAAGTATCCACTGAATTAAATGCAATGATGAAACCCTTCCTCCAAAACTTAACAGGATCAGTTTTACTTGTACCTAAGTGCAAAGGTCAAATTCCAAACTGATTAATAACTGAGACATGAGGAAGGTGAGGGAATATCTTTTATTGGACCAACTTCTGTTGGTGAGAGAGACAGAAGCTTATCCAATAAAAGATATTCCCTCAGCCCCTCTTATCGCTAATATCCTGGGATAAACAGCTACAACTACACTGCATTAACAACTGAGATGCAGTTTCCTGAATCTGCTTTGCAGTTACTTTCTATAACAATCTCTGTAGTGTATGTTAGATAACAGGCCATGCATATGATTCGCCTTGTTTTCATATCAGGAAAAAGAGACAGTGAATTAAGAATCCACTGAGTACTTTTTGACATGTATGGTCTCAGTGTTTAATACTTCAAGTCTAATTTTAATATTTGGTCTTACCTGATACGACAGAAGAATGATTTCTCCTCCATACAGTCTTGTGTGGAAGATTCTAAAAATATTAAATGGATTTCATAACAAGTTGCAATAAACAGTTTAAAGCTTTGTATTCCAAAATGGTTGTTACTGAAAAACAGAGATGTATTCAATGCTGAGAGTACTTACCAACTCCATTACAAATATTCCATGATGGCAATCTGTAAGGGGTAGTGGAGCTGTAGAAAACACTGACATCCTGAGGTGCCAAGAACTCCACAAATTTGGCATTTTTAAAGAAATCCCTCTTACAGCGTAGAATCGAGGCAGCTTGATCGGAGACGTACAAGACTTTCCCAGTAATCAGGGAAACAGCTACAGCAAACATGTCCTAAGCAATAACAAAATCTCAAACATTTTAGACAAGAGAAAATTTTTAATCTTTTTCTTTGATAATACAGTGGTTTAAAAATGGTATTTGGAAGTTCAAACTAATTTGATGTTAAGTATTATTCATCTTGTCTATTTTCAACTAATAAGAAATGATTAAACCAAATGTACTGTATGTAATCCAAATGTACATCAAGTCTCAACACAAATTCTTTTAACTGCCTGAAAAGTACATGTAGCTGATATAAACACTTCCTGAAGTAGGTGATGGTTTTAATACATATGTTGATGTAGTTTAGCAGTTGATTGTAGAATCTTACTACATGGACTTGACTCTATCATAATGCAGAAGTTACTTTGGATAGAGAGACAGCTGGACTTGGTCACTACAGTTTCCCTCTTCATAAATGTTAATATCACAGGCATATTTTGCATTTATAAAATTAAATTATTTAAGTGACTTAAAGATGACACAAACCAGTACATTCATCTACAGCCAAAATGAACATGCCCATGCTTAGTAAATAAACACTAATTTATGGACAAGCGGTTAACACAAAAGTTAATAAATGGAAATCTATTAGGTGGCCTAGTGATGTCTATCTTGTTGAAATACAAGATTGTTCTATACAGCACATGCATCAATACCTTTGTCCAGTTCTGTTTTATACAATTTGAGAAACAGAAGTTTGATTTCTGCTGTTGGAAAACTCTACAATCTAACAGATCTCAGTGTGAATGAACGTTTGACATTCAGCCTACGTTTTTTCCCCCTTAATACCATCCTATCTGAATACTACTATTTATACTCCTTTAACTATTCATAGGAACACAGAACTAGCCTTTCCTGATCAGAAAAAAGGGATATCTAGACCGGTATCCTGATAATAGCCAACTGAAATACTTCAGAAGGCGGTGAAGAATCCTGTAGTAGACCATTATGGAATCACTGATGCACAAGGGAAGTTTCTTCCTCTAAACCCCATCAGGTAGTGGTTAGCTTATGCCTTAAAACATGAACTTAAAGAACATTTTTTCTCCCTCACTGCTGAGAGACCCTCACAAACCCAGGGTAGTCAGCTGCCACCTGCATGGACTATGAAGGCCAACATAGAGAGGTCAAAGCCCCCTGTTGTGCTCTGTGGAAGGAAGCTGAAGGTAAATGTCGGCCCTCCACAGTGTATAGCCTTGACCAATAACTCTTGCCTTCTCAAAAGGGGTTAGACCAGAGCATTCCTGCTGCCTCTCCAGCACATACCTCTCCCTGATCACACTTCTTGAGAGTGAAGAACATTTTTCTTTCAGCTCTTCCGCTGCCTCTCATTCCTAACTCTCTCCTACAGGAGAGCGCAATCCCTTCAAACCGTCACTGCCTCTTACCCCTACTCTTTTTGGTTATTACATTGGGGTGGTCCCTCCAGGCCCACTGCCTCCCCCTCAGCTTCTTTGGAAGGGATAGGGGATGGGCTTTCCCCAGCTTCTCCATTTCTTTCCTAGGGTTTTCTGAGGAAGGGGGTTTCCTCCCTTTCCTGCCATCCAGCATCTCCTGGTTTATCCCCAATGAAGGGCTTGCTGGGAGTCTCCCAACTCAGTCAGGCACCTCCTCTATCCCAGATTCTGCAAGAAGACTAGGGGAGGGATTAGGACATCTGCCCTGATATTAGCAGGTGCTTCCAAGCCCATGAAGTAGTCCAAATACTAAGGGGAACTCCCAGGACATATCTACACTATAAACTTAAGACGACCTATGTTATGTCGTCTTACAGCCACTACAGTAATTATTGCAGTGCTTCATGTCCACACTATTCTTCTTCTGTCGGTGGTGTGCATCCTCACCAGGAGCTTTCACCGAGTTAACAGTGGCAGTGTGGCCAGGACTCCGGGCGCAGAGCTCCCCTCTAGGGGCAGCCGTGCTCCCAGTGGGGAACAGAGAACCCAGAGGGGGCCACTAGGCTTCTAGCAGGGGGAGCTGAGAGCCTGCAGGGGCAGCCTGGCGGACAGATCCATGAGTGATGTTCTGTGCGGCTGCCCTGTTCCTGGCAGGGAAGCAGAGCCATGAAATTGACAATAATGACAGCCAATACATGTAAGTAACTCATTACTACACCGACATAAGCCCTATGACTCTTGTGGAGGTGGAGTTATTATGTCGGTGTAGTAGGACACATACATTGGTGGGCAAGGCTGTAGTGTATACACTGATATAATTGGGTCGACGTAAGCTGCCTTACATCAACCTAACACTGTAGGGTAGACCAGGCTCCAGTCTGTTTGAAGAGTCACCATTTTAATTCTGTCCTCCTAAATTCTTATTTGAATTTTCTACAATTTGTAATCAACTTTCCTGTAATGAAACATGGTAACCTAGGTGCAGTCTCACCAGATACATTAGCTCCCTGGTCTGTGAGTCACTACTTCTCTACACATAAGCCAAAGCAGTTTTGTATTTACCACCAAACTGTAAGCTCTGGAGTGAACTTCTGCCCAAGATAATTTAATGATCAGATTCATAAGTATTTGCCAGGATCAAATCCCTCATTTCTGAAGTGGATCCTTTGTAACAGATGATAAAGTAGCAGTGAGAGTCGGATAACCCATTATTTGGGATTAAGTATTTTGCATTCTTTCCAGTTGTTTTACTTATATAGCATATGGGAAAAGTGTATAGTTGCAATATCCAGCACGATCAATTCTTTCCCATCACAGGGCACATTCTTCAGAATACAGTGTCCAATACCAGCAACAAAACCATCAAAGCTGCTGGCAACAAGGCATTAATCCATTATGCCCAAATTTTTGTTTGTTTGTTTTTTTAAAGAAAGGTTACAGTTAAGAATTCCAACCACACCCACCAATTACATACTCAGTGCAGTAATAGGTCAGCATACTCACTGCATTTTTCATGATGTATTCTGAAGTAATGTTCTCAACTTCCTCCACCGTATAGGACGACACATCAAGACCAGAAGGATGGCTTTCATTAATCATCATTAACTGGTAATAGTCTTCATTGGCTACATAAGAATATTAAGCCAGTTTTTTATATTCACATTTCAAAATATGACCAGTTAACATCGAGCCTGCTAATACTGACTGGACAGAAAGCATGAGCTTGTGGTTAAATACAGGACACGGTATCTAGGTTCTATTCCCACTTCCACCATGAGAAAAGCACTTAACTTCTTTCTGTTTCAGTTTCCTCATCTGTAACCTGGGGAAGTTTATGTAGCTCATAAAGGTGTTGTGTAGCTTAGTTCATTACAGTCTGTGAAGTATTTGGCAATCCTTGGATAGAAGGCATTGCTGAATATTGTCTATAGTCAAATATCACTTACAATTTGTAACTAAATACCAAACGTATTTTTAAATAAAATTGAGTCTCACTCTACGTTTTACTAGGTTTTTTATTTTAAATATCTTTAAAAAAAACTTATTGTAAGTGCTAACCCTGCCCCCCTGGCTTTTTTTGTTTGTTTGTTTTGGTAGAGTCACCAACCCAAATTATTAAAATGCTACAACTACATTAGTTTTATGATCTTTCATTTATGATGAACTTGACTTTATAAAGAGATCCACATTCGGATTCTAGTTCTGGAGCTTACATTTATTCAATCTAATTTATGATATTTCTTCAGCAACATTACCTTTAACTTGTTTAATGCTTTTAAGTGCATATTTCAGTGTTGTCAGCACACTAGATTTTCCTTTGATTCTTTTTTCAGGAGGAAGGCGTGCTTTCAGCTCCTGCAATGTTTTCCTCAATTCCTTCTGTGTTTTGGCTTTAGTGGATTGCTCACTGCTATAAAATTAAAACAAAAAAGGTTACACTGATATTTAAACTGATACCATACCTTTCAGAAAACCAAAGCCTTTTGACATTTATCATGTCATTAGACTAGTTCTACATATCTGTTTAGTATAATTTTGGAAGCATTTAGCTTCAAAGACAGTTTAGGATTTGCAATAATTGCCAGATCAGGGATTCTCAACATTTTTGGGCTAATGACCCATTTGTAAACTTGATGGCCTGTCTCAAACCAGTAAATAGCTTTAGTGCAAAAACACCTGTCTTACTAAATATTTTTTTGCCCACAACATCTGACACACACCTTAATGTAATAAGTACACTGCAAGTACCTTTGAGGTGGCTCATGTCACAGGGGACTGGCTGAGCTAGTCTCCCGGCTTTGGGTGTTGCGACCTCCAGAGTCACAGCTCCACTCAGGTTTGACCAGGTCTACCTGACAGATGGCCTGACGGGGCCAAATTTGTGTGAATAGAGTTGCAACCTGGCACATGGGGTCACAGCAATACTCACCCAAATTTGGCCCAGCTGGCCACTCCCCATCATAACGGAGGGGCAGTGGGGCCAAACCTGAGCAGCGCTGAAACGACATGCACTAGGTCACAAACGCCCAGGGCAGGGAACTAAACCCAGCCAGCCTTGTGGGACTGGAGCCAGCACTGTGAAGGGAGTGCTGCACAGGCTCTGCAATCCCCCACCCACAAGTCTTCCAACTCCCCCGGGTGGAGAACCCAACCCTGAGCCAGGGCCTCCCATGTGACCTTTGACATATTCTTGCGACCTATTTTTGAATCAACCACAGGGCGAGAGACCCTGAACTAGATTTAAATAGTTAATTCATTTTTGTTCACAATAATTGCTTCAAACAGCTTTATCCCATCATTGTTTTAAAACTTATTTTAAAATGCACAATAGTGTATTTTTTATTTACCTGCATCCACTAGTAGATGGATTATGTTCAGAGTCTGCAATCATCAGGCTAAATGCATTTGAGCTGAAAAAAGAACAACCTCAGTGATGTTAATAAAGTAAAATACAAGTTGTGTTTAGCTTTAACATCTCCATTTTCTATTTGTTACTTTAAACTTACAGATCAACTTTATACCAATGAAACTGGTGATAATGCCAACTGAGCAGCTTCAGCCAAACTAGTTTGTGTGTAAATGTTACATATGCTTAAAAAGATGTAATTCTATGGTAGACTGGTGTGTCCACTAAATCAATCACTATATAGTAGAGTGTCCAGCAGTTATTAACGGACAGCCATAAAAAGGTGTGATGTATATCACTGCTCCATGGTTTTCTTCCCTAGTCTCCTAAAATAATACTCTCAGGATTTAAAAAGAAAGCAACAAGACATTGTTAATGCTTCAACTTGGTAAACAAGATTTATTCGTGGGAAAGACGCATTCTAAATCTGATTTTAAACTGAAGTTCTGTTCTGATGTCACAATTTGAACACTTTAATTTAAACCAGACTGAACTGTTTTTAATCAATAAGAAGATACGGAGATTCTGAGGTGGTGAAAACAAGCAGTTAAAAGCCTTACCTCACTGATCTATTTGCCTTAACAGAAAATATGAAGACAAACTTCTTTGCTGCACTCCCAGTAGCATTTTTACTATATTTTTCTACTTGTATGTTCTCATGTGGCTCTACTTTCAAAAGTATTTCACCATAGCATTATTCTCTTCAAGTAGAAGAAAGTAACTATGTAGATGCAAAACTACTACCTGTCTATTATGGTATAAGCCAGTAATGAATGAATAAATAATAAATCAGCATGGAATGGAAAAAGCACTAAGCATAGGAACACAGCCCAACACAGATTACATTGCATGTATTAACATGAAAGTAGGTTAGATTTTAAGAATCTTAAGAAAAACATGAGAGGAAAAAAATCAGCATATTACCTTTTATGACAATCTAAAGACTCCATGAGCATTGCTGTATCTTTCCCATTTTCATCAGATTCATTGCCATGAGAATCATGGCCAGTAGAATAGTTTTCATTCATACCATTTCCACGGAAGTCATTACCACTTGATCCACTGCTCATCTCAATGGCCTCCTGAAGAGTATCTGGATGCTGTTCAGGCTTGGTTTGACCATCAGTCTCCTCAGCAATCATTTGGCTATGGTTGTTTGCAAGTTCAGAATAGCCACTCATTTTGTATTGCTGCTTTGATGAGTCTGACTGCTGAGAAATATTTCCACTGATTTCAAGCTGTTGTGGGTTCCGCTCCTCAGTGTTAGAGTAGAACCCCCTGATCTTAATACAGTCCACTGAACACTCATTAGCAATATTTGCGCAGACCAACAATTAGTCAAGCCATATTCACATTTGTGCTCTGCATACAAGATTGCCAGTCTTGAAGAGTGAATCCAGAATCCTAAGGGTGGGGGAAGTGGGGGAGAAAAGTAATCAATACTGAAACAATTTGTTTTTTAATAAATTTGTTTTCAGTTTGCTCAATATTAAAGTTCTGTTATTGGCCAATCAAAACTGAAATAATGAAATAGCTCTAATGTTAAGTTTTAATTTCAAGAGTTTTGTTATTAAAATTTTATCCCAGAATCTGACACATTTAAACATTTCTGAAACGTTTCATCAATACATTTCCATATTTAATTCAAGGCTAATAACAATGTTATAAAATGAATATTCATTTTGGCATAAAATGCCAGGGGAAAAGAAAGATGAAATAAAGTGCACTGTTTATTAGAAGACCGCCTTTTCAAAAATTTCAATATTACCCATTTCTTAGTCTATATAATTTCTGTCATGCTTACTGGCTGGGACTGCATACAAATATGCAAAAATCAAGAGTATATGACAGGTTGTTTTTCTATCTTACTATTTCTGCTAAAGACTTAAACTAACACAATGAATTAGAAAATATTTAGTGAGTTTAAAAAAATAGTTCATTTCAAAGGCTGCTTTACTAGTTTTAGGGGGTATACAATCTCATTTTCCTATTTTAAAAAATTCTTTCCTCTGTTGCTGCACGAGAGACCCACAAACAGAGGAGATAGACTATCCAGTGGAAACAGTGAATTGACTATATATCTAGTGCATTTTGAGGACAACCTAGAGAAAAAGAATTCTTTCATTTCTCTCAGTTACAATAATCCTAAGTGTCAAAAAGTAAAAAAAAAAAAAAAAAATCCAGACAGAAGTGAGTTCTTTAAATTGACTTTTAACATTAAGTACAACCAAAAATGTCAAGTACTGCTTGGGAAATTATACCTCTAAGGAAAGAAAAAGAGCTGCTGTTAAAGCAGTTATCAAATTTAAAAAAAACAATGACGTCAACATTAAACAGTATTAAAGCAATAATAAACCTATAAAGGACTTGCCATCAAAGGTAAAAAGCACCAAATAGCAGTCATCCTTAAGTAGCAAACTAAACACCAGAAAAACACATGGGCGAAACAAGTTCAGGAAATTAGATTTCCCTGATCCACAGAGAGCAACACTTGTTCCATAAGAATAGGCTTTTCATTTGCACATTTCCAGGATTAATGTGCTCTGAACAACATTAATGTAATACTAAACAATGCAAATTATTTTTATTCTTACCTAAAATATGAGCAATTCAGTGTTTGATATTTTTTCCCCATTAAAACATAGCACTACCATCTGTTGGCATTTCCAATCTGACGGTTTTCAGATTGAGTACAAAAGAATGAAAAAGTGTACGTTTTCCTAGTACTACTACTAGTGCCTTGCTTTTTAACACACAAAAGAAAAAGAACAAACCTACAACAGTGATGTAGTTTTAACTTAGATATTTTAAAAATTCTCCTACCATTTTCCCCCAGAAAAACAATTGAAACTATTTTCTTACCCTCCTAATTTTTGGTTTTCCAGATATTTTACATTTATTTCGAGTTCTCAGAAGCAAATATCACTCTTCTTCTCATTCAGCCAAAGTTGTGCACAAGAAATCTGTTTTTAGTTGGAAGAGGAAGTGTTTTTAGGGGCATTTATTTTAGCAATCACTACTGATAACTATAAATATTTTCTTACAATTAGAATATTTGCTGGAAACCTGAACAGCCTTTTGCAAGTAACATGAGGCATATTTTTCTACCAGCACAGTGAATTTATGGAATTCAGATCCACAAATCATGACTGAGTTTATAGGCTCAAGGCTGTTCATTCATATAACAGACAGATCAATAGATGGAGAGTTGTTATAGTAGCACAAATTCTGAACTACAGTTTACTTCAGCAGTTTTTCTTGAACCAAAATAAGCAGCTACTTGTGTCTCCCTAAAGTTACTTAAACTGGAACACACAAGAAAAGGAAAAAGAGGAGCTTTGCATTGGTCTATAGTGTGGCAAGAAAAGTGTTACAGGATAGGGGAATTTCTCTTCCTTCATTTCAGACTGATGGGCTTTTGGCTAGAAGTTACTAAAGAAAAAAAAAATCTGCTCAAGGTCTCAATCACATTGAAGTTTGCCCCTAGATGAAACTCCCAGTAGCATTTAACAATGACATATAATAAAATCTTCTGTTGGTTACCTAGGATCAAAAAGACTAGACAATTCACCTCTAATGAATGGACACTCTCTAAGTAAGTGGGTGCCCATGTATAAACCAAGCACCAGATTTAAGGAAAGGTCCAATACGTAATGTCCACCTAATTCACTATACCGTTTGTCCTTCCAGCATTTAGGATTATGATATCTAAAGCTGCACTGTACTAGAAAATCTAAATTTAATTTTTTACAGTAATGTGCCTAAGGCAATAATTATTAGTAATAGTTTTGCCCTGTATGTCTCAGCTAATAAGACCTGGCCACAAGATCATTTTACAACCTTATGTTAGATTCATTATGGCCAGTTTTATTTGTTTACTTGGTCATTCAATAAAAAAAAAAAGGAATTGGTTTAGTGACATACGCAGCTTTTATGGGATCCATTTTTAAGACCTTTCACACAATGTCCAGAAGTGTCCTTGGAAAAAACTAGTATATAATAATTTCATGAAGATTTCTGAGAAATAACAGAAGTCCTCTTCGGTTACTGATGTTCTGGAATTTGGGCTTGGTTTCCAAGGTACTAAGGAGGCAAAGTCCCTTTATGAACTATGGTAGTTAAAAGACAAGAGACTTTTTTTCTCTGCAACTTCTCAGACAAGTCCTTACTTAGACCATCCTGTAAGTTTAACAGGAAAAGCCTTTCTGTATAACAATCTCATGTAGACACCAGTTTAGTATTGGCATACATGGGGCTGGAAATCAAGAACCACAGCAGCCAGGATAAGCTAACTTAAACTTTGAATGGGATTCACAAAGGCATTTAGCCATCTAGTCCCCACTGAAATCAATGAGAGTTAGGTACCTAATCACACCCTTCAAGTATAGGAAAAACGCATTTCAAGGCTCCCAAAGTGTAAAGAGATCTTTTGTAGGCCTCCAACCTTAACATGGAAACTACATTGGGAGGAAGGGTTGAAATCTAAAGAACTGGCAGAGGCATTTACCTCAAAAGCTCTGTTACAGGGCAGCTTACTGCTGGTCTAAAATCAGGTCAGCTACTGAGAAGGTAAGCCAGACTTATCTATAGTCATGTCTTTGGGTCACGAAGAGCAAAACAACCTGGGTTCCTCTTATGGTAAATCATTCCATTACTATTTTTTATTTTACACAAGTCCTTCCAGGAGAGTAGAAGGTAGAAAGGAAACCAGTAACTAGAGAAATCTACCAGAGGGCTTGTTTTCACTATAACATATATCTTGAATTAGTACACTTAAATTACCGCATGAAGTGTGACTACACTTCACAACAACATTGGAATTACACAGTGTGATTTCATTATCAGCTCAGAGTGATTGGCTTAGCACTGATGAGCTGATGCAACCTGAGTTGTTCTATCACCACTCCATTACCCCTACTAATTTGAGCACTAGCTTCACTCAAGCATCAACCCATCCCCACCAGCTAAACTGAAGTTAAACTAGCCAGCTAAACTCAAGTTTAAAGCACCACTTAACTCAAATTAGAGATATCTGCGTGTGGTAACACAACCTACAACTTAAGCTAAATGTGCTTGAAAAAATGAAATCCCGGGGATGCTGCTTATGTCACCCATGGTAGGCTATATAGTACACAGTGAGTATAATTCCCTACTTGAGTATTTCCCTGCCCTCTATCTGCCTGTCAGAACAAGTGCACAAAACCCCACGAGTCTGAACTGTGGCTCTGAAGAGCAGTATTTTCTACCAAGCTAATGAGGTGGTTTATGAACAAGATGACCAACAGACCAATAGCAATGGATGTCAGAGCTACAGTATACATAATTTCCTGTGTTTTGAAGAAGGTTAATAAGGAAGCAAAATTAGCCTTGTTTTTCTTATGAGATTTTTTTTTCTGTTTATTATAAATGGCATGCAAGTTATTTTACTTAGAAATTTGGTTTTCAGTGGCTCTAATACACCAAATAGAAACAGATGTCCCACATAAAAAGTTAATTGCCCAATAAGGAGATGCTGCATTGCAAGCACTGACCCGCTGGAAAAAAAAAACAAAAAAAAGACTTCTACACATATTCCTATTCGAATTCACATCGAACTGGCTGGAGAATAATATCTGAGAACCTGTTTGCTTTAGCCAAAATTTTCAAGAGTAACTAGTGCTTAGTTAGCCTCAGTTTGTGGGTGTCCAATATGACACACCTTAAGGGGCCTGGTTTTCAGAGTTCAACACTTTAAAAAGGACCTGATTTTTTGAAAGTGTATCATGTTGGACATCCCAAATACAGAAGCTCCCAAAATTAAGTTACCTTTGAAAAATTTTGGCCTTTGTAAGTTTTATTTTACCAAATGAAAAAGTCTTAAGTGTAGTTAACACTTAAGTGAAAACAGAAAGAATCCCAGACAGAACTGTTCTAGAGGCAATGCTTTAATCAAACCTGAGTACAACTTCCCCTCTTTTCTCTCCACCTCAAATTCTGTAAAGTCTCATATGTAATGAGATAATTGCATCTTCCTATATGCAGAATCTAAGGGCTTGTCTACACTACCACTTACTTCAGCATAATTTACATCACTCAGGGGTGTGAATAATCCACACCCATGCAAGACTTAAGTTACACTGACCTAAGCGCTGATGTAGACAGTGCTATGTCGGTGAGAGCGATTCTCCCACTGACAAAGCTACCGCCTCTCACAGAGGTGAAGTAATTAAGTCAATGGGAGAGCTCTCTCCCATCAGCTTACAGCCTCTTCACCAGACACACTACAGCAGTGCAGCTGTACTGCTGTAGTGCTTCCAGTGTGTAGACTAGCCATTAGCCCTGGTCCACACTAACCCCCCAGTTCGAACTAAGATACGCAACTTCAGCTACGTGAATAACGTAGCTGAAGTCGAAGTATCTTAGTTTGAACTACAAGGTACTTACCGCGGGTCCACATGCGGCAGGCAGGCTCCCCCGTCGACTCCACGTACTCCTCTCGCGGAGCAGGAGTATCGGTGTCAGAGGCGAGCACTTCCGAGATTGATTTATCGCGTCTAGACAAGACGCGATAAAATCGATCCCAGAAGATCGATTGCTTACCGCCAAACCCGGACATAAGTATAGACGTACCCTGGATTGTAAACTCTTCAGAGCTGGGACAGTTTCTTCTTGTGTGTCTGTACAGCAGCTAGTATAATGACTGGGGCCGCTGGAAGCTACTTTTAATAACTATTTGGCAATAATTAAATTACAGCTACTGACATCTTTTGTCTATTTTACAACATTGGCACAGCTCTATTGAGCAGCCCTGCTGTGTGCATTTGCGACTTCCACTGGGAAGATGCCCACGTCAACATACTACTCTTGGGGGATTCTGCGTCATGGCCCCTGAAGATTTCTTTGCTTCCCCACAGAAAAACGACTTCTGACGGGGAAGCAAAGGGAAGCCGAAAGAGTGGTTACGTGCCCCTACAGTAGTTCAGGCCGGTCAGTTTGGGTACCCAGAGCAGCCGGTAGAGACATAAATCAGAGCGTGTGTGCGTAGCAGAATGTATCAGCCTGACTGCTTAATGAATTGTTCCCATTGTTCTTAGCGAAGTCCCCCAGGTATAGAAAACGGGTGTAAAAATTTTAAGGCTCCTTTTCATTGCCAGAGTGGTGTAAAGAAGCCTTACTGTAAAGGACAGTATAGCCTTATAAATGCTTATGATGCTTTAGTGATTAGAACTGGTCTAAATTTTTGGACTGAAAAAATTTCCTATCAAAATGTGCCCCAGGAACTGTTTGCTACTGACCTTTCTGGAGATGGTCAGTAGCCAGTATAAATTGTATGTCTGAATCCCCAAACCTCACTTGCTCTTCAGTTGCCTATGATTAGGGCCCTACCAAATTCACGGCCACGAACAATGCGTCAGACTGTGAAATCTGGTCTCCGCCCGTGAAATCTGGTCTTTTGTGTGCTTTTACCCTATACTATACAGATTTCATGGGGGAGACCAGCATTTCTCAAGTTGGGGGTCCAGACCCAAACAGGAGTTGTGAGGGAGGGGGGGTCACAAAGTTATTTTAAGGCCATCACTGCATTGCCAAACTTATTTCTGCAATGCCTTTAGAGCTGGACGGCTGGAAAGCGGTGGCCGTTGGCTGGGTGCCCAACCAGAAGCAGTGCATAAGTAAGGGTGGCAATACCGTACCATGTCATCCTTACTTTCGCACTGCTTCTGGTGGCGGCTCTGCCTTCAGAGCTGGGCTTCCAGCCAGCAGCTGCCGCTCTCCGAACACTCAGCTCTGACAGTAGTGCTGCTGCCAGCAGCAGTGCAGAAATAAGGGTAGCAGTACCACACCCACCCCTACAATAACCCCGGGACACATACTCCCTCATTCCCCCCCCCCCCCCAACTCCTTTTTGGGTCAGGACCCTTACAATTACAACACAGGGAAATTTCAGATTTAAATTTTTAAAATCCTATGAAATTGACCAAAATGGACTGTACATTTGGTAGGGCGCTACCTATGATGTAACGCTGAGCATATGGCTGCATATATTTGTTGACTAATAACTGGAAGTAAAGGGTCAATACTAGCTACATTACTATTAGACAGAGGAGTTTTGGTGATTTCCTTCAATGCGCCTCACTCCAATTCTTCATCCATTGTATTGTAGTTTAAATAAATTACCAAAATAATTAAAACCAGCGTCATTATATTACATTATTTTGAAAAGAAATATGCAGAATTTTAAAATAATGTGTGTAGAATTTTACATTTTTTGGTGAAGAATTCTCCCAGGAGTAATGTACCTTATGCAACTATCTTGCTGAATTAGTAGATACCTGAAAAGATGGCCTTGATAGGGAAAGAAATCAAAAGTTGTGGTTTGAAAGGTGACAAACACATCTTTAAATACCACAGTTACACTCCAGAGGAGGAACGTCTCTTTTCCCCTAGAGTCTTTTTCTCCCTCCCCTCACAAAAGCACAAGTGGCCAAGTGACTATGGTTGAGTTCTAACAAAAAGAATTATGCTATTGTATGCTATACCCTATCACATATTCTGTACATAGAGAGTCCTATCTAGTCTTTCACATACATAGTGTTCATTTTGGGGTGTAACAAGCTCACATTGTGCAGAGTGACTGGTTTCATACTATGGAATGAGCACTGCCTCAATACAACCACTTTCTTGTTAATATTTTTGAAGCCCCTACGCCCAAGCTATTGGCAAAGTGCCAACATATAAATTATGGGTCTTCATATGGCAAAAAGGAAAAGCAAATTAATTTCAATTCTCCCAAATCACAGAAGTACTAGTGATGTACATCAGTGAACACAATCAACTCTCTCTAAAAATCTAAGTATGAAGATTTTGCCTTATTTTCTAACACCTTATGATAATGTTTTTACCAAGACGGTTGTGTCATACTGCATACACAAGTACAGATATCAGAGAGATCATTCCTGAAAGGTATAAATTTTAGAGTTTGCTACTGTAATTTTCATTAATGAAATGTTTCCAGAAGTCCTCTTTTAGAGGGCTGCTTTGCCAATGGGTATTGTTTTGCAATTGTTATATGGCAAACAACGGACGATGATTTGACCATTCCATGCTATTTGAATGAAAAATTAGGTGTGAAAATTTACACTGAACACAGGCTCCCTGAGCAAGCAGGCAATGCTTAAAATACTTCCTCCTACTTGGTAGCAAAAGAATGCTAACTTGACAACAGCCATCAAAAGAGAGAAGTCACTTTAGTATTAATCTACAAGTCATCTGTGCACCTGTAAAAAACTATACAAACAGTTGAGTTTTAAAACTTATTTGAGGACTAAGAGTTAACAGATTATCCTCAATGTGACATTCTTTCCAGCAAAGAGACAGCAAAAAACTTGTGTTCTCAGATCTCAGCACAAGGAAAATGCAGAGCAGTGCTTACTTGGCAGACTTTTACAGTAATCCAGGAATCTTTATTTCCTGAGTATGTTTTTTCACATCTAGTCTTCTTCAAATCACCATGAGCATAAGCTTAATACTTGCTTAATGAAGAGTTTAATACCAGAATTCTTCATTAAAAATTCACAGCAATAAAAAAAAATTCTCAGCAATATCCAAACCAATAAGCAGGTGCTGCAATCTACATTGAGAAACCCCAATGCTTGAAATTCAGTCTTTTAAGGCAGTGAATAAAGCCTAATTCACACAGCTTTTATGTTGATTCTATTATTGTATTTTTGACATATTTACATTATCAGAAATTAAAGATAAATTGAAGCACAACTGAAACAAAAATAGCTTTCTGAATAAACTATTTAAAATTTAACTTTCTACTCAAATGAATCAGAACAATTACACACATTCCTTACCTGCTTTTTTAATCAAGGTTGGCATAAGTGTTATCAGGTTCCCTCCCAGCTAGCATCAAAAAGGCATGAAGTACCTAGGTCCAGAATCTCCCACATGCATTTAAACTGTGTCTCTTCCTCTTCTACTGGTAATCCTCATCCATTAGAGAGTCCGGACACCTCTAAAACTACAAAATATAAAAGAAATACCAGGGCCCCCCAACAATGTCCTTTTCTTATAGCTTTGAGAACAAAAAAATACCACAATATTGCTCACAGTTATGCCAACCCTATACAGATAACCTTTTGGAAAAGAAGGAATTCTCATCCAGCAAAGGAAGCATATGAATATTTTAATACACTTGGATTTCAGCAAAATTATTTAAAGTTTCAAAATACAAATATCTTTAAACTAGATAGAACACACCTAAACAGTATGTAGAGTTCTGGTTCAGCAGCAGCACGGTAGGACTCTAAGTCTGCACTGGCTGAAAAATGTCACCTCCAAATTAAGAGCCACATTTTGTGGCCTTTACCACCACTAAACACCCATTTAAGTCAACAAGAGCTGCGTGTATTCAGCAACTTTGGAAAAACTAGACTATTTGCTTAGGAGTCCAACTTCAGGTACTCAGATTTCAAATTTCTGGCCTAATGATTTTCACTATCCAGATTTCTTGCATCAGGCTAGTAGGGGTCTGAAATTCAAAACCTACAATTTCCTGAATAAACGCAGGAAAGAAGTTGTGTGTTTCTTCTCCCCTCCTAATGCTCTGCAGCAATATGAAATTTGTACAATTCTTCTCAGTTTAACCGTTGCCCACAAAGGTTCTCAACAGCAGCAATGTTAATGAAAAGATATACATTTCATTCTGCTTCTACTTACTAAACAAAGGCTATGTCTACACTCGAACAACAAAACCCTCGTCTTTCAGAGGTGTTAAAAAAACAAACAAACAAACAAAAAAACACAACCCATCCCAAAAGACAAAGTTTTGCCACTGACAACCGCCACTGTGAACAGCACTTTGTCAGCAGAAGCCCTCTCCTGCTGCCAACGCTGCTTGTTGGAGGTGAAAGTTTTTGTCAGTAGGAGAGCCAACAAACAGCGGCTACAATGCGTGTCTTTTAGTGGCATGGCTGTAGCAACACTACACTAAAAAGCTGTGTAGTGTACACATAGGCAGATCCAGTGCTTTTGCTTCTTAGGCTGTCTATTGACAAAGTCAATACCCATTCTTTAGCTTTCAATCCCTTTTGAAAGGTTATCTTTATAACCATATGGGGCATTAACGTCTTTTGTTGTTTTAAAGGAAAGGTTAAATTCTACAGGAACTGATGTCTTAAGCCTTCATGTTCATCAGTAAACGCTTCCCATTAGCAAGAGGATTTTTCAAGTTCTGGTTTGGTGTACATTAAAATCCGATTCAGCACATCTTGGGGAAAGTAAGACTGTAGATCTGGGTGGCCAACCTGTGGCTCCGGAGCAACATGCGGCTCTTCAGAAGTCAATATGCGGCTACTTGTATAGGCACCAACTCCGGGGCTGAAGCTACAGGTGCTAGCTTTCCAATGTGCCAGTGCTCACTGCTCAACCCCTAGCTCTGCCACAGGCCCAGCCCCCACTCCACCTCTTCCTTTCCCCACCCCTCAGTTTGCTGTGCCCTCGCTCCTCCCCCCTCCCAGAGCCTCCTGCATGCCACGAAACAGCTGATCAGGAGGTGGGGGAGGTAGAGGGAGGTCCTGATCGGCGAGGCTGCCGGTGGGTGGGAGGCGCTGGGAGAGAGGGGGAACTGATGCAGGGCTGCTGATGTATTACTGTGGCTCTTTGGCAATGTACATTGGTAAATTCTGGGTCCTTCTCAGGCTGGCCATCCCTGTTCTAGATTGTGTGAAACTTGGGGAGGTGGGGGGTTGCCGAATTTCCTGTTGAACCCAAAACATCCAGCTATGTTGGAAAGTATAATCAGTATATGGCAGACACAAGTAGCAGAATAAATTAAAACAAACAGTATTTTATATGCGACAAACATCTAAATCATTTTCAAAATACTCAGACTGAAAAAAAAAAATTGCATTTGAATACCCAAGACTAATGGTTTACAAAAAAAAAAAGGACTAGCACTAGAACCTTTCATTAAATATGTTGGAAAACAGCATATGTTAGTAAGTCTCATCATAAAATGCTGTCTTTACAGCTATTGTTTGTTAAAGTACTCTACAATGTTGGCCAGACTTCTAAGAAAAAAAACTTATTCACAATGTTCAATTCTGCAACATGTGACATGAGTCAATGTGAGTTTTGGATATGCAAGGAATACAGGATGAGGCCTTTTTTTTTCCTGGTTCTGAGAGACGACAGAATTTTTTTTAAGTATAATATTAATGATTTTACCAAAAAGTAGTTTAGAATGTCTTATAGTTATCTGTTACATAGCAGGTAATCTTGTGAACAGATTAATTCCATCAATGTTTGGCTACCCTATTGTATATTTTCATGACGCAGAATCTGGCCCCAAGTTTTCCATAATAAATCCGGTCCCTTTGACAATAAAACTTTAGAACCAACTCTTAGCCAGAGCTATTTGCACATCTGAAAATTTTACACTTATGACCTGGAAATGTGGCTGCATTTCCAACAATAATTAAGGAATTCTCATACATAGTCTTTCCCAGTTTTCACATTTATTGTAGGTGACAGTGTCCTTTCCCTACTATCTCCCTCCAAACAGTATTTGGGCTATGGAAATTAATTTCTATCTTCACTAATTGAGATATTTGAAAATGAGCCACAAGGACTTGCTATTCTCTCCATGAATGATGTATTCAGCATTTGGTTTAACAACCTGCTATGAATCATGGAATTCTCAATTAAACTCAACTAAAAATAAGATTCTGTTTCAAGATCAACTGTTTCACTGAAGATGGGACTGTGAAGTAGATTGTAGTGGGGTAATACAGACTTCTTTGTACTCATGTTTGGGAAAAGTTTTTTTGTTATTTGTTTTTTTAAAGTTATTACCTTTTAATGGTCCAATACATGCCTTTTGCTCAGTGTTTAACTGACCTGAGCAGCCAAGTCTATGTCAAAGAGATTTATCTGAAATTGAAAAGGTAGTTTCCAGCTATACCTTGAAATAAAACCATACAAAGTATGTATAGCATCTTAACTTACATAGAGAATGCATCTTCAGAAGTTTTCTTGTTTAAATTAAAAATACCATGAAAATTAAATATGAATAACAAATTCCAGTGATTAAAAGAAACACTTAAGTGGTTCTCATTTAGCATGATGGGATTTGGCTAATTGCTTCCCCAAAAAGAGAATGTCTTCTGCTTCGAATTGTGGCTGAGAAGAGGAAATTAAAGCATTCAAATATGGAACCCTAAGAAGAGCTTTTCTATGAGAGGAAATCTAGTTCCATCAGTACGAGAGGAAAGTTGAGCTAAAGAGAACATTCAGACCAATTAAATAATTTCTTTTGAGATTGAGTTACGTATATTGTGCACAACATAAAATAGAAAGTCTTCAAATATTAGAGAACAGCCAACAACCTGCTTTAGGTGACACACCTGTATCACAGGATCCAAGTCAAATCCCCCTTTTAAAGGAAACAGAAGTCACACCTGTAGTATTAAAAACAGAATAGTAAACTGTCAGCTTTAAAAACTTAACAAGTTAAGGTTTTTGTAGCAACAGATGAAGATCAATGATCAGAAGGATATTTAGGTATGTATGTGATATGACTGATGAATACCATAAGCCTCTTTAATTACCACCAAAATACTTAGAATTCTGATTCTATATCCTCAGCAATGTTATAGAACTAGCCAAAACTCTTGTACAGGAACCTCCTCCCTTCCAGCCTCTCTAATACATTGTCCCTCTCCAGCCTACATAAAATGAAGCTTCTAAGATCATCTTCCTTGCTTATTGCCCTGACCACATCATCCCTTATTTGAAGCTCTCCACTATCTTCTCTTATTCACTGCATCATCTTCAAACTTGCCCTCATCTTCTACGTCTTTCAGAACCCTGCGTCCAGTAACTCTTGTTTCCTCACACACATCCCGGCCCTGCAACATCAACCTTGTTTGCCTGTTTGTTAACTTCTTACATATGGAAAACTCTCCTTGAACAGATCTATAAGGAACTGCCCTCTCCAAAATGTACAACGGAGCCTTATCAAAATATAGTTTTTTCCTTTTGCACTAAGCTTTCATCTTCTGAAGTCATGTTTTCCTACTTTTTAGAGGAAAATAAAGTGATTGATAAATAACTCAGCTTTGGTTGTTTATCAAGGCTTCTGATTTCAGATTTTAACAAACAAACATCAATAAAAGGTTGTATGGGGGGGTCTCAAAGCTATTGTGTGTGGGGGGGATCGCAGTATTTCCACCTTTACTTCTGCGCTGCCTTCAGAGCTGTACGGCTGGAAAGCAAGGATTGCTGGCTGAGAGCCCAGCTCTGAAGGCAGCGCTGCAGCAGTAAAAGTAGCAATACCATACCATGCCATCCTTATTTTTGCACTGCTGCTGGCAGCGGCACTGCCTTCAGAACTGGGCTCCCAGTCAGCAGCTGCAGAGGTTCCTGCAGCCGGGGGAGGTTCCTGGAGGTGGAAGTCCCATAACTCACCAGTCCGTCCAGGACCAGCAGCTAGATCCCGACGTACGATAGGAACCCTCGACTAGGGTGTCCCCAGCCTTGCCCCTCCCCTGGCTGTGGGCCCAGTACCCCAGTGCTCAGGAGTTAAAGGTGTCTTGGGCTGGTTGTGTGTGTGTGTGTGTGTGTGTGTGTGTGGAGGGGAGATGACCATGGAACCTCTCCCCACCCCAAACCATAGAACCTTGGGCAGTCACTAACCTATACGGCCATCCCTGCCCCCTCAAAAAGTGAGGACCCCTCCATATGATGCCACCCTCACTTCTGCACTGCTTTTGGCAGTGGTGCTCCTTCAGAGTCAGGCGCCCAGCCAGCAGCTGCTAATCTCTGGCCACCCAGTTCTGAAGGCAGTGCTACGACCAGAAACAGCAGAGAAGTAAGGGTGGCAATACCGCAATTTTCAGATACTTAAATATGAAATTTAAAGTATCTGAAACTGAAATTTACGATTTTTAAAAATCCTATGACTGTGTAATTAACCAAAATCAACCGTGAATTTGGTAGGGCCCTATATATAGGCAACGTCTCTGCTTCCTGGCTTGTATTTAAGGCCCTGTCTACATGCGGCAGTAATGCAGACTATGGGTATGCAATTTCTAAAGCGCATTAACATGCTGCTCATTAATTAGTATACGTGAATCCTGCCGATATACACTAAAGACTTGTTAGTTCACTTTAACATAGTGGTGCTTGAAACAGTACTAGGGGTATATACAAAAAGACCTCCCCCCACCCTCATTTTGGATATCTGCATAAAACTGAAAAAATGCCAAAAAAATAAACTTCCAAAAATGAAAAAGCCTGAAAATCAGAAGCCCTATTTATAATTCAGTTCTAATTTCCTATCTAGGACAGTATTAACTCAGTAAGCATCTATATTATTTTGATTTATACATTACATAGGCATCACCGGACTATTCACAGATAAACTAAAAATATTGTACTTAAAGTAACCTTTTCATGATCAAACAGTTCTCAGTATAGGGAAGGCTGCAGTATTTTGAAATCTCTGTGTGTCAAAGACTATTTAGGCATAGACAATCCACATACAAACTAGTACTGGCGTGACTAGAAACTAGAATCTGACCAAAAAAAGGCATATTATCCCCTGTAACATTAAGCCTTAGGAGAAGAGTTGTGCCCATTTTCTCCTGAGCCACAATCCCATAGACTCTGATGCAAATTAGCATCTACATTTGCTATTTCCAGAATCACCTTTGGCATTAGAATTCCTTAAAACATCTGAAAGAACCACCCAAAATATTGGAAATAAAACAGAAAATCACTTTATTGCATAGCAAGATACATCTAATACCATGTGCTGGATTTGCTGCAACACTAGAGGGCTTCCACTTTCTAAAAAGGAAACAGAAGTCAGCTCATTTCCATGTGTTTCATGACTTTTACCTCACTCTCTGTGTTCTGTAGTTCCTATTTGTCAAAAAGCTTTACATATAAATAACAGCTCCAAACCAACAACACACACACACACACACACACGATATAAATTCAGAGTAAGCAAGAAAGCAGAATTTACACACTTCAGATCATTTCTTGGGGGAGAGCATAAGTAAGACACTCACCTTAATGAATGTGCTAATTATGATCTTTCCAAATCAAGGTCTGAAACTGTAGTTAATACTCTCCTGCAAAAACAACAAACCCAACATAGTTTTATAAATAAACTATAGAAAAGGACTTTAAAATCCTACTTATTTAATAAGTCCATTTAATTAGTGGAATAAAAGCCTAGTCATACATGACAAAAAACATGAATTGTAAAGTTAGAGAGCAGTTATATTCATTATGTATTAATGATTCAAAGATGAAACCAGAGGAAATGGGGAAAATTTCTTAGCTAAGCTACAACTGAAATCTGAAAATAAAACTACAGTATTGTTTTCTTAAACAGTACATGAAGTTACTAATCTGTTTTCCTCTGTAAATTTGAAAAAGCCAAAAAAGCCTCACACCTGTTTTAGACCCTAAATCAACAGGACACACACAGAGAGATTTAAATATATATGTTAGAAAAACCTATTTCAAAGGCATTTATGCAACTGCTTACCTGCCAAAATCCAAGTTAACGAATCTGTATTCCTAGAATAAAAATTGAGATCAAACACCTGAAGCATGGCAAAAAGTTGCATTTCTTACTCTACAAGTGTTTGATAAATAGTCAACTCTTGCAAGACAAACACAGAACCCTGAACTATATAGTCTTTGCAAGAGAAAAACATTTCAGATAACTTTTGCACTGTATTCAGCTAAATATTGTGATCCAATGGGGGTAAAAGTACTCAGTACATATATAATGTTGGGAGCCCATTGTGGCCATTACTAGCCCCTTGCTAAGACACATGGCTGTGCAGTCACAACTGCAAAAGCCGTTCTTGGGAAATGTGATCTACGACCATGAAAGAGGAGGTCTCAGCAGAAGCCACTCACTATCAGTATGCTGCTGTCAGGACAGTAGAATGGGAATGTAAAGTTCCTTCAACTATGTTCTGCTGGAACTGAAGGGAGCAGGAGGCCTCAAACCTCAGCTGAGTCCTTGAGTCCAAACCTCACCACCTGAGTTATCTATGATCCTGAAACACCTAATCCATCTGAAGCACAGTTTGACTTCCACCTCCCCACATCACCTCGTTATTCCCACTGCTTCACTTCATCCTTAGTCATCCAGTAGGACCATGTTCCCTCCCTTAGCCAACCATAAGCAGAGCTTATCCCACCCCTCTCACAGATTTAGCACCATTCTCTTGCTCCTCTCCACCATGACTGCTCACCTCCACAACAGGTCTGGATTATTCAAGGCTTCCCAAAACCCTCCAATAGCTCTCTCTCAATCTCTCTCTCTCTCTCTCTCTCGTGAGCCTTCCTATTCCCCTTTCCCAATAGGTTTAGATCCGAGTCACCACCACCATATTCAACATTTTCCTTTGTTCCCTTTCTTCTCTTAGGAATAGCATTGCACAGAGAAGTTTGCCCATGACTGACAAGTTTGTTGCAGCCTGTTCAAAGGCACATTTCCACATAGGCCAAAGGTTGCATGGGACATATGTGGAGACTAAGGGCATGGCTACACTTGCAAATGTAGAGCGCATTGAGTTAAACCAGCCTTCGTAGACCGCAGTAGGGAAAGCGCTGCAGTCTGCCCACACAGACAGCTGCAAGCGCACTGGCGTGGCCACATTTGCGACACTTGCAGCGGCATTGGGAGCAGTGTATTATGGGCAGCTATCCCACAGACCACCTCTTCCCATTCTGGCACTGTGGCTTGTGGGAAGGGGGGGCATTCTGGGTCCTGTCCCAATGCCCCGTGATGCATCGGTTCGCATCCCAGCAATCCCTGTGCTTCCGTCCACATTTGGCACCATCTTTCAATGTTGTGTCTACTGCGCGCGCTGTCTTCCTTTTCGGTCTGCGGGAATGGAACCCAAACTGCTGAGGAATATGCTGACAAGTCTCTCCAGCACGTCATGTTTGGCCATCAAGTTACTCCTTAAGATCCAAACTGACAGTGAGGACTCAAGATGATATCAACTCAAGTAATGCATACGACAGGAGAATGCTTGTGGCATTCACGGACATGCTCACCACTGTGGAACGCCGTGTTTGGGCTCGGGAAACAAGCATTGAGAGGTGGGATCACATCGTCCTGCAAGTCTGGGATGATGAGCAGTGGCTGCAGAACTTTTGGATGAGAAAAGCCACTTTCATGGGACTGTGAGAGGAGTTTGCCCCCATCCTGCGGCGCAAGGACATGAGATTGAGAGCTGCCCTGACGGTGAAGAAGCAGGTGGTTATTGCAATCTGGAAGCTGGCAACTCCAGACAGCTACCAATCGGTCACTAACCAGTTTGGAGTGGGAAAATCAACCATTGGAATCACGTTGATGCAAGTTTGCAGGGCCACTAATTGCATCCTGCTCACAAGAACTGTGACTCTGTGTAACGTGCATGACATTGTGGCTGGCTTTGCACAAATGGGTTTCCCTAACTGTGGAGGGGTGATAGATGGGACGCATATTCCAATTCTGGCACCAGCCCACCTAGCCTCCGAGTACATTAATCGGATTGGTTCTCCAGGCACTTGTGAATCACTGGGGGAGTTTCATTGACATTAATGCAGGCTGGCCCGGAAAGGTTCACGACGCATGCATCTTTCCAAACACTGGCCTGTTCAGGCAGCTGCAAGCCAGGACTTTTTCCCCCCCAGACAAGAAGATCACCGTAGGGGAAGTCGAAATGCCCATTGTGATCCTTGGAGACCCCACTTACAGTTTAATGCCGTGGCTCATGAAACCCTAAACAGGGAGCCTTGACAGCAGGAAGGAACATTTCAACAACAGGCTGAGCCAGTGCAGAATGACTGTGGAGTGTGCTTTTGGCCGTTTAAAAGGCCGCTGGTACTCTCTGTATGGGAAACTGGACCTGGCCGATGACCACATCCCCGCGGTTATATCCGCGTGCTGTACCTCCATAACATTTGGGAAGGGAAGGGTGAAAGATTCACTCAGGCATGGAACTCGGAGGTTCAACACATGGAGGTTGAATTTGAACAGCCAGAGAGCAGGGCTATTAGAGGGGACCAGCGCAGGGCTGCAAAGATTAGGGATCCCTTGAGGGAGCAATTTGAGGCTGAAAGCCACCAGTAATGTCTGGAGCCCTGCATGGGAGAGAAGTGCAGTTGTTCCAATGTCAGTAGGAATCTGTGTTTGCTATGCTGACTTGCAGTGCCTGTTGCTTTCCTGGGCTAAGGTATCTTTTACTTTATGGAATAATAAAGAACGTTTTCAAAGCCAAAAAATCCATTTATTGAAAAGAAAATCTATGTATCGAAAAGAGACAACTGCTTGGGAAACAGAAAGAGCAAGGGGGTGGGGTGGGGAACAGTACAATCACACATTTGCATATGTCCTGTTATACTCAACCTTCCTGTCTGGAGTGCTATACAGTTAATGCTGCACTTAGGATGGCTATAATGCATGGTGACAGGGGTTGAGTGCAGTGGGTAAGGATCGTAATTTGCCTGTCCCAAAGCGAGCGCACATAAACCACGGGAGCCCAAAATGGTGAGTAAACACAGGGGCAAGGGGGACTGATTGTTTCATGGCCGTACTGTCCTCTGGGTTTCTGTGCCTTGGGGAGAACCAACAGCTGCAGGGGCCCCCTATACTGAACACTGTCCCCATATTTTCCACAGGAGTTCATCCTGGAAGATACCTTGGTGTTAAGGGTGACCTTGTAAGCAATGGAAGGTCTTCTACTGCAATGCAGCTTCCGCCCTAACCCATATGCAGCTTGCCTGTGTGCAGCAATGATCCCCCCGCCCCTCACAGCACCATGGCGCGGACATGTTAGCCTGACAGGGACAAGGACCACAGTGGCTCTCCCAAGAAACCTGTGCAAGCGCATTGCCCAACTCCTGGATGAGACCTTTGAAGAGATCACTGAGGCCGATTACCGCGATGTGAAAGAATTTAAAGGGCGGGTCTGACAGTTGGTCACCTGAGGGCAGGGCAGCAGAGTTCAAAGTGATGACCAGAGTGGCTAGAACAGGCATTGTGGGACATTTCTGGAGGCCGATCAGAGCACATTAACAGACCAGGGCATCCACACTTGCGCTGCAGTGCTCCAGTGGGGGCACATCAAACGTTATTCCACTCACCAAGGTGGAGTACCAGGAGTGCTCTAGCTGCAGAGTCGGGGTGCTCTACGTGCCTTGCCAGCATGGACGCGTCATGAGTTAGAGCACATGAGGTTGCTTTAATGCGCTCTAACTCGCAAGTGTAGCCATGCCCTAAATTATATTCCCTCACCCACAAACATTAGGCTATATACTTGTAACTCTAAGGTTACTCATATTCAATAGATTTTGTATCTCCCCACCACCACCACCACCATATAAACCATTTAAGCTCACATTTAAGTCAAAACTGCATTTTTGTTCATTCATTTATTTTTATTCAGGGTGAGGTTATTCATAGGTCAGAGGGGACCATGGTGATCATCTAGTATGACCTCCTGCACAACACAGGCCACAGACCTTTCCTGAAGAAAACAAAAAAAATCAATCACCCTAGAGCACATCTTTTAGAAAAAACATCTAATCTTGATTTTAAAATGGTCAGTGAGGAGAATTAAACCACTTGATAAATTGTTCCAATGGTCAGTGACCTTCACTGTTAAAAATGTATGCCTTATTTCCAATCCGAATTTGTCTAGATTCAACTTACAGTCATTGGATCATGTTATACATTTCTCTGCTAGACTATCTACATAGGAAACAAATATTTAATACTACTTATAAACTGATCAAGTCACCCTTTAACCTTCTCTTTGTTAAAGTAAATAGACTGAACTCCCTGAGTTATCACTTTAAGACATGTTTTCTAATCCTTTAATCACTAATCCTAGTCTCTGAAACCTCTCCAATCTATCAATATCCCTCTTGAATTGTGGACACCAGAACTGGACATGGTGTTCCAGCAGCAGCCCCACCAGTTGAAAATAAAGAGGTAAAATAACCTTTCTAATCCTATTTATGGATTCCTGTTTATGCATCCAAGGATCGCATAAGTCCTTTTGGCCACAGCATCAAACTGAGAGCTCATGTTCAGCTGATTATCCATCATGACCTCCAAAAAAATTTTCAGAGTCATTGCTTCCCAGGATAGCATCCTTCATTGTGTAAATATAGACTACATTCATTGTTCCTAGGTGTATACATTTACCCATGTTAAAATGCGTATTGTTTGCCTGTGCCCAGCTTACCAAGCAATCCAGATCGCTCTGTATTAGTGACATGTCCTCATTATTTACCACTTCCCCAATTGTGTGTCATCTAAGAACTTTGTTAGTGATAAGCTTGTGTCTTCTTCCAGGTCATTGATAAAAGGGTTAAACAGCAGAGGGCCAAGAACGGAAATGCCATTTTTTAAACATGGGGTGCCACTCCTCCTCCCCTTTTAAGGGCATAAGAACCGCCACACTGGGTCAGACCAATGGTCCATCTAGCCCAGTATCCTGTCGCCAACAATGGCCAGTACCAGAGCTTAAGGAGTGTAAACAGAACAAAGCAGGTGGAGTGATCCA